ACTTTCTGTCTCCACCTTTTGCAGGTTCCTTTCCCCACAAACTGGAGGGAAAAATTAAATAAGGTGGCAGCTGGTTATCTGCTCGAAAGTTAGTTGGAGTAAATGAGATCTGAGCTCCCTGGGAACTGTCCATCTCATCCCAAGATCTACATAGTCCACAGCTGCTGGCTGCAAAGCCAACAGGGCAGGAGTTTAGAGTGGAGGAGGCCAAACATGGGGAATTGAGCTCCGAGCCAAACTATAGACAACACAGCGGCCATCACTCCATAATGAGCTCAATGGGCCTTATTTTCCTCCCAAGTGCATTGGTTTATACCAGGGGTTTCAAACTTGTTTAGGCCCCCTGGGCTAAATTCAGATAGGGGTTCCTTGCAGGCTGCATCCAGACCCGCCTCTAGTGGCGAGGCAAACCATATCAGGGAGTTCATACAGCTACTGCCAAAACCCATGCCCCACGGGGCTTCATACCCTCAAACTCAGTGGCAGACCCTGCTTCCCCCCATTCAATCTGCCCCTGGATTCCCAGCCCTTCCATGAACCCCATAAGCCATATGATTGACACTCCTGGTTTATGTTGCTGTGAATTCCTGACTTCTATAAAATGATACCTGAATTAACATCTGTGTGAGGGAGACCCTTGCTGCACTCGGGGCACCTATGGGGTGCTCGCTTGTGTGGATGTGTTGGTGGGTCATGAGCCACAACCCTACAGCCTGGAGCTGGAGGAAGACTGAAAGGAAAAGACAGTCTTCCTTTGCAACCTTCAGCTCCTGCTGTTTAGTATAAGTTCTTTTGGATCTCAAGACAGCAGCATCACAGCATCTAACTAGCTCTCTGTTCTTACAGATGAAACAAGCTCATTGGTTAAATTATTTCAGTTTGCCCATAGAGTGTATTTTCCAAGAACTGATTGAGTTTCAGGTTGCTTTGACAATTTTATTATTTATAATAACTACATTAGAAGTTAAATAGCAAGAAGAAAAACAAGATTAATTATTTTTAAAAAGGATGTGATAAACAACAAACTCCCCAAACGGTGCCCCAAAAGGTAACCCCACCTTCTAAAAGCCTGCTCATATTCAAAGGTCTTATATTGCTTCAGAATTTAAAAGTAACATAAATTATACTATTCGGTCTAAGATGTTAACACAGCTAAAAAATGATAGAAAGCAAAACAGGTTTTCTCGTGTGGATTCAGAGGAGTTCTACCAGAATCTCACTGATTTTGTTTGTTACCCAGTGCTGTTCCACATCTATATTAATAGTCTCAAACTGTGTTTCTCAAACTGGGGAATACGGGGTTGTGCAGTGCTCTCAAAGTAGACAGGGGTTAGTCTAAAGTCGGGCAGAAGGCAGAGCAGGGTGGCACCCTTCCCAGGTTCTATTCTCAGACTGCGTTTGGCCTCCACAATCTAAAGGTCAAAAGTAAAATGTAAGCCACAAGCAATGCAGTTCATATTTTCACATAAATAGATCACAAATAAATGGGAAGTTCCCACTTCAGCAACTGTAGGTGGCTAGCAAGCTTTTTGTTCCAACCCCAAAATAAAATAATCTATGCAGCATGGGGAACCATGTCTGTTCGGTGTTCAAGAGACACAAATTGAGAAGCCATTTGAGTGTCTTTCATTATTAACCACGCTTTGCAACGCCGTCGCTATAGACAGCAAAGTTAGATCCATGGGCTGAGACCTGGAAGAGCTGAAGTTCTACTTCAAGCTCTGTTACTGAGTTGCTGTGGGACCTCCCTGCCCCTCTCTGTGCCTTAATTTCCCTTCTCACACTATGTCTAACTCTCTGTTTGGGACAAGCCCTGTCCCTTACTACATGTTTTTATACACTGCATACAGCACTACAGGGACTTGTTCTTAGGTGCTACATGAATGTTAGGAAAAAATCATTAATTCAAGTCAAAAGGGACCATTATGACTACGGAGTCTGACCTTCTGCACCATGCAGGCCAAAGAATTTCACTTGGTTATTTCTGCACCCCTGTCCATAATTAACAACTGAGCTAAAACATCAGCAGGGAAGTTTTAAGGAGGTGCTAGAAATTATTTTTTGCTCAGTTAAATTCCAGGGACAGTATAAGGGTAGAAATCCAAGCAACCTTTCTTCAGGGATACAGGTCTAACAACTGGAAGTGTTTGTGGGACGTTGTTAGGGAAAGGAAGTCTCTCCTGGAACGTGCTGAGGGTCCTCTTTTGTATCAGCTTCTGTAGGTTTGGTTTAAGAATCCCCAACTCAGTGTCTGTTGCCAGTAAGTTTGGAGCTCTAGCTAATGAAAAGTTGATACATTTTCCTAAGACGTTTGTTGCTTCTTCCACAGATGGAAGAATTTCCACTCTGCTCCACTGGGCTTTTTCCTCAAAATCAGGCCCCAGATGAAAGTCCTATCAAGTTTGTCAGAATTCTTCACCCCTCCTATCTCACTGGATGCTACCCTGCAGTCTGGCAGGGAAAGAAAGGCAGTTGGGCAGATTTCAAAAGGGGCTATAGTCCACTCCATATCCCCAACCCCTCCAGTTCTTTTCCTCTAAACCAACATTTTGCACCCGGCGCCATAGAATAAAACTCACAGAGCACAGAAGCAGCCCTTTTCACTAGGCCTAATCTTCCAAGACATTCTTAGACCGCTAACCCATTTGCACCCAGCAGCAAAGTCCCTGATCCAAACTTTGGAAAAGAGCCCAAACCACAAAGCTGCTTTGAGGGATTTCTCTTGACTTATCCCTAGACCATTCACTCAGCAGGACAGAGTAGAGTAGGGGGTGGAAGCAGGGAATGGCTGCTCGGCTCTCTGCTTCTGTCACCATTCTTTAAAGGACAGTGAGTGACCATGAAGGCACCAATAAATGGCTCCAGGCAGGTTTAGAAGTCTATAGTTTCTTCCCCTGCTAATTTAGTTGACTGCCCCTCCAGAGGATGTCTGCATGCCTGCTGTTGTGAAGTGTAGGAGGACTTGAGTTAGCCGGAAACAAGTTAGTTTGCATAATAACCTACTGGAAAGAAGTGTTCATTAGCCAGTGCAGAGTACCTTGCTGCCATGGCTAGACTGCTTTTGCCACCTAAGCTGTCTAATTTTGAGCTGGTCAGGGACCAGTTGGAACAGTAGGAGGAAGAGTCAAAGGACGCTTGTACATGTACGTGGCATTTAGTTGCTAAAAATGTTCCTGGTTTAATTTTTTTTCTTAGTTTAAGATAGCTAAATAAGTAACACGGACATGATTTTCCACGTAAGGGCTTATTATACTCTGACTAGTAAAAAGCATTAGAGGGCATGTCAAAACAGTTTTACCCTCCTGCCCTTTCCATCCTACCTTACTGCCAGGCGGCGCTTTAGGACAAGAAACACCCAGCTGCAGCACTTCTATAGCCCTGAGGAAGGGCATACTCACAGGGTTCGGTGCTGGGCAGGGAGGCAGGAGGAAACCCTTCTGAGAAAGTAGTATAAATCCAGTCACTGACGGAGGGCCCTTCCCTGACTCCAAGCAACCAGATGTTACCATCAAGTCCAAGACTACATAGACCTGATAATGAGCCCTCAGACTGTCCTAGGTTGAACCTGGGGCACTATAAAGAGGTGCTCGGCTGGGGGCTGGACCTGGAGGAGCGTATATATATATATAAAAAGAGGTGCTCGGCTGGGGGCTGGACCTGGAGGAGTGTATATATATATATATATATATATAAAGAGGTGCTCAGCCCCTCAAATGCTCAGGGGTCAGCAGCTCTGCCTGGCTGGGAGCCGGCTAGAACTGATACCGGTTAATGAGGGAAGAGCTACAAAAGGAGGCTAGGCTGCAGTGCTGAGTGCACAGGGCGTCCCTCTTAAGGTCTGAAGGAAGACAACAGGCTTTGGTTTTGTTTGCTTGCCCATTTGCTGCTTTGCTCATTTCCTTGTTCCGTTTACTGTGGGGACAAGGTTGCTCCATGTAAAAGAAACTGCTTTGAAACCCTAATGTATCAGGCAGCTGGGTGAATGCCCTGCTTACAAACACCATGAGCTACTACGCACTGCTTTAAGGGTCAAGTGCTCAGAGCTTAGGACTGGGAGGGCAAACTCTCGGCTCCATCCCTGCAATAGATCCTTCCTCTCCCGTTCCCCCAAGGACACAAGAGGTGCTTGCAGCCCCCTGCTCCCACCTGCAAGTAATCTGCCCCACCTGGCTTGGTCAAAGGTAGAAACTGTGCATAGAGGGCTCCCAGCAAGGGACAGCAGGGAGGTTTCCAGTAACCCCAGGCACATCCATGACTAGGAGGGAACAGCTCTATCAGTACACATAGCCACCTTGTGCATGCTATTCTTCAGTTCCTTCTGCAGGTTCCCTCATCTTGGGAGGGACCCAGACCCTGGCAGCTCTCACTGCGGCCTTGGGAGTGTGAGGTGGAGGTCTGGGAATTAGCTGCCCTTGCCCACTGCCAGGTGGTTGGATCTGGAGGAGAGAGAGGAAGAGCAAAGATATAGCTACATGCAGGTGGTTGGGCTCCCAGGGGAAGGAGACCCCTACAAGCCAGGTGGAATGGGTGACATTGTATGGCCTGAAGCTATTGAAATCTTTAAGCAGCAGGCAGGCAAGGCAGATAGAGGGGATGAGCCAAGCCACACACACATGAGCTCTCTCTTTCTCCTTCCCAGCTCAGTGGAAAAGGAGCTGCCATTTGATGACCAGATCAGAAACAAAAAAGCGCTGCAGCTCACCAGGGAGGTGGTTTGGAGGCCAAGGACAGTGGGCAGCTGACCCCAGGCAAGCAGCATACGGCCCTGGAGGGGAGAAGGGGCATGTTTTTGTAGGACTTTGTCTGCTGTTCATTTGCTCTGCACGTTTCTCTCTGGGCAGGAAGGAGCCAAATCTTTCCTGAGCCATGAATCTGTGCTGGGAGCGAGGACAGGTCCATCAGCCAGCACCACCAGAGGGCTCTGGCTACTGCTGGGTGGGGGAAGGTAGCTCCTGCTCCCCCTCCCTGCCTCTCTGCCTAGTGCAGGGGAGGTTGAGCTTCCTGGGTCAGATGCTGCAGCAGCTGAGAGCTGAGGACTGAGCTGCTGCTGCATTGCTGAGCAGGGGCTGTGCTGGGAGAGACCTTCATCAAAGCCCCTCGATGCCCAGCCCAGGGTGGGGCGAACTCCAGTGTCTGGAGCCAGCCCTCTGGGGCAGCCCCGGACAGCTCCTCAGCCAGACTCCAGGTAATGGGGAGAGACCTCGGGGGAAGACCTGGGGACGGGCAGCACTGGGTCTCTCTGCACACACATCCCCTCCGCATCCATCTCTGCTCCCCGGGGCTGCGGGTCCCAGAACTGCTGCCCTCGCTGGCACCTAGGGGCTGTGGCTCCCAGTGACACTGGCAGCAGCTGATCCAGCTAGGGGAGCACAACCCTTCTGGCAAGAGCAGTGATGGAGTGTCCTTGGACCAGGGGGCTGTAGAGGGAGGAGAAGAGGCTGAAAAGTGCCGCAGGAGAATAGGGAAAGGTGCTGGGTCTCAGCCTCTTGGAGCTGCTGCCTCTGCTGCAGGGACTCACCTTTCTGAGGTCGTGCTTCTGCTGCAGCTGCAGCAGCCCCACCATGTAGGATTGCTGCAGTGAGCAGGGCAATGGCAGGCGTGGTTTGCATCCCAGCCACCCAGTTTAGTGCTGCTTCGTGGGAGATCATACGCATATTTGCTACAGAGCTCATATGCATATGTAGGCATGCATTCATAAGATGCTGCATGCATCATTTTACCCTTCTACCAAATGTATTTGCTTCCCTGGGCATGTGGATATTTTTGCATTTCCTACAGGAATTGCTGTGTGACCCCCAGTACATTTATAACGTTGCCAAGCACGCACAGAAACATCCCTCTATACATTCAGCGCAAACCAGCTACAGAAAGCTGTTTGTCTAACACCAGCTCGTTTCCATTCGTGATGCTCAGGGATTAAGAAGGCAGATAGACTGGTCACTGCTGGATTTTGGCAATGCCACCTGAACCATGTTTAGCAGGTCTAGGGGCATGATTCCAGCCTGTGTTGACTCCCCCACTGCAGGGAGCCACTGAGGGAGCCGTACCTGTGTTAGTGCCATACAACAGGTGATTTCCAAAAATAAAGAGCAGTGCAGTGTGACCCAAAAGATGAGCTGAATGTCCTGAAACGGTCTGTGTAATTCATGCTCAGCAAATATGTATCAAACCTTAGTCTGGTCTCTTCTTTCTTCCCTGTTCCAGTACCCAAAGCTGACATAACCTGGCTGAAAGGAGAGGAAGAGCCATGGGTCCTGGGTCTCCAGGGGTCCAAGGAGCAGAAAGCCCAAGAAGTGTCCCTATAGGTGAGGAGTTGTTCAAACAATTCAGAAACCTTCCAAAGTCCCATGGGTTCCTCTAGCTCTGCCTGTTTTGGCTTGTTCGCCGTTGTTACCTGTGTGTGTTGAGTGCTCATGGTAGACATCACTCATGCATTCTTACTCATCTTAATTGATATCTGGGCACTGGCCCATCCCTGTGGCTGCATCCTCATGAGTGCAAACGTTTGGTTCCCTGGGGACAACTAGCAGTGGGACACCTTGTGCCACCACTAGTTGTCCCTGGGGAATGCCTGTGCCATGCACCCTCCGGTGGGGTAGGGGAGGCTGGGGCCAGCACTAGGGTCCTGAGAGCCAGCAGGATATCCAGGGGTCAACAAGAAAACCCCACACTGCTCCCTTGCAGTGCAGAGAACAGCTGAAAGTGTGGAATGTGGCGCCACAGATGTGTCTGCAGTGCCACATACCACATGGCCGCGCTCGTATGAACATGGCCTGTGTGTGCATAGGTAAGACGTTTTCCTCTCAAAGGCTCTTTTTCAGGAACCCAGGTCTTGTTTATGAATTCTAACTCAGGGTTTTTTGGACTGTTTTAATTTTACCACAAACCCATTTTCTTTCCTTTCTTCTGCGGTTCCCTCCCTGCACACAGCCAGAGACTCCTCCTGCATTCTCTTTTGGTTCCAGCAGGTGACAAGGCCATGAGTAAGAGTGAGGAGGAGGATGCGCAGCAGGAACCACATGGGACACTACTGGGAAGAGCTGAAGAAGACATTGCTCAGAGTCCTGAGCAGGGAGAAGCTTGTGGAAATGAGAGTGAGCCACTGCTGCCAAATGGAGCAAACTGCAGCAAAAGAGGCAGCAGCCTCCCGGCTCGCAGGGGACAAGGAGTGAATAACCTTGAAGCACTTAGTTTGACGAGGAACCTGAGTGGGAAGAGACCAAACCTATGCAGGGAGTGTGGGAAAAGCTTCCGCTGGAGATCAAGGCTTATTACACATCAGCGACTCCACACCGGAGAGAAACCCTATAAATGTCACGACTGCGGGCAGAGCTTCAACGAGAGCTCTGCCCTGACCGTGCACCAGAGGATCCACACGGGCGAGAAGCCTTTCAAGTGCCCCGACTGTGGGAAGAGCTTCACTCAGAGTTCAAACCTCATCCAACATCAAAGGATCCACACAGAGGAGAAGCCCTACAAGTGTCAAGACTGTGAGAAAAGCTTTAACGACAGCCGGCACCTTGTCCGGCACCAGAGATCCCACTCTGGAGACAAGCCATACCAATGTACGGATTGTGGGAAGAGCTTCAGTCAGAAATCAGATCTCACAAGACACCGAGGAACCCACTTTGGGGAGAAACCTTTTAAATGCGCTGACTGTGAAAAGGGCTTCAGCCAGAGCTCCGATCTCATCCGACACCAGCTCAGCCACTCAGGAGAAAAGCCCTACAAGTGCCCCGACTGTGGGAAAATCTTCAGCCAGAGCTCGAACCTCACCACCCACCAGCGCATCCACAGGGGAGACAAGCCCTACTGCTGCCCGGACTGTGGGAAGAGCTTCAGTCAGAAATCGGATCTCAGCAGACACACAGGAACCCACCTCAAGGAGAAACCTTTCAAATGCTCTGAGTGTGAGAAGAGCTTTGCTCGGAGCTCAGCACTAATTAGACACCAGATCATCCACTTAGGTTAGAAAACAGTGGTGCTTCTACCTGACAGCAGTTCTGGGGTTGCCCCATTCAGTTAAATGTGGTTTGAAGGTTGCATCGGAGTGATGCACGTTGGAAGTTAGGGTTCCAGCATGGTCGCTGCGATGGCTGCGGGTTCCCACTGGTCGCTGTGATGGCCATGGGACTGGGCCAGAAATAAAGAACATCGGTGCCCTTGTAATCTATAAACCTCCATCTCAGAAAGCTTGTCTATTTGCTCTGGCACAAGAGGACTGTGCTTGGGGTGTGAGCATAAGATGTGAGTCTAATGGTAAGGGCTTTCCTTGCAGAGGAAAAGTCAGTTATTCTGCCAGAGGACGTGTGGCCTTCCCACCCGGGGGCCCAGTGCCTCTGCTCTGAGAGCAAGAGAACTTAGCGCAGGAATGGAGAATGACCCGTTACCCTAGTGAGAGGCATCTGAAAGGGCTGGTAGACAGTCAGATGAGAGAGACAAGTCACCCACACTGGGCAGTGTAGGCTGATCACTATCTATAAAGGTGCTGAAAAAGGAGGATGCAGGAGGGGAAGATTGAAAAGGAAATGGTAGAATGGATGAGAGAGCAACACCGTTAAACAAATGCTATGACCCTGTGGGCTCCTAAAGCCACCAGTTGTGCCCAACAGATATATCTCCATCACCCCACTAATTCCTGCCACATCAATGACTAGTGAGAAACACTGACTGATCATGATCACAGATGAAGTGCCTCAGACTTCAGTGTCAGAAGCTGCTACGCTCCTCATCTCTGCGATGGTGAAAGAGCCGGGGCACGGGGCTGGGCAAAATGCTTCTGAAGAGAGCTGGGATGGCTGGCCCTGTCCTGGCAGGGTCACGCCAAGCAGAAGAAAGATCCAGAGTGGCGGTGTACTGGGGCCTTGTGATGGCATCTGGCGGTGCCACTCTGATTGGGGCTTCAGGATAATTTGGGATCTCTCTCTGTGAAGCTATCTAACTTCAGAGCTATTTCTTCTGAGCCTTTTGTGCCCCTCCTTCTGGGAAAAAGGCCCTGATATAAAGAGCTCAGATGCACTTATGAGAGTGGGTCAAAACTGGAAGGAAAATTGTGAAACATTTTGGAAATTAAAAAAAAAAAAAAGTGTGGGGGGTTGTATTTTCTTGCAAACTTTTCTGAAGTCAAAAGGAAAAATTCTAGGAAGTCCAATTTTTTTCTCAAAAGTGAGAAACTATAAACAGGAAGTTTTGATGAAAAACAGTTCCCCCCCCCCCCCCCCCCATTGGTATGGCATTTATTTTCAATTAAAGCTTGTTTTGTTTGAGAAATGCCCTCTCACAATAACCAAAAGTAACTGTCTGAGGAGAAAGCTGAAGCCAAACATGCTCCTACAATAAGATTTTGAGGTTAGCTAGTGTTGGAGTGCTGGAGACCTGCTTGTCTTCTCCCATGCGAACCCCTGCCCCTCCTGTCCCCCCCTCCAGCTGGTCCTTTTTGTCACACCAGCTGTCTTTACCTGATATCCCCAGCACATCCCTCAGGACTCCTCAGGGAAATCTAGTCACTCAGGACTCATGATCAACGGGTCAGATTTTCAAAAATCTTACTTTGCAAGCAGTGCCCCTGGCAATGCTTAGAAACTCAGAGGTTCCAAGCTAAAGGATCTTGCTCTTCTGCTCAGGGTCCTACTGATTGCCAAAACGGGAGCATGGAAAGAATTTCCCCCCTAGGTCAGATTGTTAAGGGCTGTGAGGATTTTTTCCCTTCCTTTGTAGCATCAGGCAGATCATTTCCTGGTATCTTCTGAATGTATAATGACAAATGACTTCTCTGTCCCTGCAGCAGCAGGGCATTGGCAGTCTCTCATTTCCCCTGCTTTCATCTATGGCATATTACAAAGTGTTGTTGATGTATTGGGTACTGTGCCTTATAATTGTGTGTGAGGGTTTGAAGTGGCAATTTTGGGGATTGATTGGGTTTGCCTTGGGTTTCCCCACAGGTAATTCCTTGGGATTACCTCTGAACAAAGGGATTGACCTCAGCGGCCCAGTAGGCCCCTTCCAGACCCATGCTTTTTCAATGGGAAGGACCCAGGGTAGAAGATGGCACAAGCTACTCACATGCCACAAACAAAGCTTCTGAGTCAGACATTCACAATTTTCCTGTTTTTCATGCCTTTGATAGGAGAGAGACAAGCTCAGCCTCCTGCCAACTTGCTCTGATTTCCCCGCGTGGCATCATCCTCTCCAGCCCCTTTGGTCATACCCCTCCATCCATTTCTGCTTCCCTTCAGCTCTCTCCCTCCCTGCTCCCTTTCCTCTGCCGGAGAGAGGGCCCATCCAAGTTCTTTTGGGGGAATGCTGCTTTTCCTGCCTTGTGACCCCGAGACTTGTCTGCATCACATGAGACTATTCTAGACTGACACCATGAAAGCACATACCGCCCACCCATTCCTCTGTGTGCACCAAATGTCACAAAACGTAGCATGACTGTGGTTCGAGCAACCCTGTATGTGCACCAACAGGCACACCTCAGACCGAGAGCAGTGTGGAGGGGACCCTGGGCTCCCACCTTGCACAGTAGCACCCACCTCACTGACCCACAGCCCCTCTGAGTGTTTCTCTCCTCCTGGCCCCACATATCTTCCCCTCTCAGTTTCCTCATGGGCCACCTTCAAAAGGACTGAGTTGTATACTGTGGAAGCTAATAAAGGATGAGGCAGACAAGGCTGAAGTCTCAGCTCCTTTTTTAATGTTTTGGCCATCACGACAAATGTCAACTCTTAGACGAAGAGCCAAGTTGGCAGCAAGGGTAAGGGAGTAGATTACCTTGGGGCGTGGGGTGGAGGGAGGCTGGGAGGGGAAGTGGGACCAGTTACGGGCCAGGGGGTTCAAAGCAGGGAAAGACTTGCTACCCTGCCTGCAGGGATGCCTGGGGGCCTGTACTGGGATCAGAGATACCAAGCTGCTGCTGGTGAGAGTAACTGCAGCAAGGAAAGGAGTAATGAGATGGTGCCCACTGACACTAGAGGGCTCTGGCTGCGGCTAATAGAGCAGAGGCAGCTCCCTCCACTGTCCGCTCAGGATGTTGAGCTTCCTGGTTCAGATGCTGCTGCTGCCTCCTCCATTGTGATCCCAAGCTGAGCAGCTGGGGCTGCTCCAGTCTGTGCTATGGGGAGTCCTTCATCAGCACCCCTCAGTGCTCTGCCCAAGTGGGGGCTTTCTCCAGTGGCTGGGACCACCCTGGGGCAGCTCCAGGCTCTGCTGACACCAGCTCCTGAGCTGGAGGCTCCAGGTAATGGAGAGAGACCTTGGGGGGAAGCACTGGGGCATGTAGCCCAGGGACTGCACGCACGGCTTCTCTGCACCCGGGGGTCTGCGAGTCCCAGAGCTGCTGCCCTCACTGCCACACAGGATCCTGCTCCTAGTAGGACTGTTCCAGCATTGACCTCTGGCAGCTGAGCCCTCTCAGTCCTCTGCTTTGCTCCCCCCCTCTGTCTGCCCTCTACTCAAGATCCTGCTGTTCTGCTCCTATGGCTGGGATGGACCCCAGACCTCCCACATCATCCCCACAGAGCTCCCACCCCAGCCAGGAGTGCTCATCACCCTCCACGCACACCTCCACCCTCCCCCTCCAAAAGTCTGCCTGTGCCCCCCATGCAGCACTGCCTTTCTGAGGCTGGAGCACGAGGACTGGAGAAAGAGAGATCTGCAGCCTGATTTCCTCCTTTACAACCAGGAGGTTTTTTGGTTCGTTTTCTTCTCAGAGCTTGACCTTCCCGCAGGGCACAGCCAGTGACTCCTGCTGGATCCTCTCTCTGCCCCAGCAGGGGATGGGATGGTGAGTGACGACAATCCCCAGCAGGGAGGTTCTGAGCACGTGGAACTGCACAGGATGTTTTTGCAAAGTGGTAAGGACAGTTCCCAGAGCCCTGAACTGGGAGAAACCTGTCAGAGTCAGTAAAAAGAGAGAGGAGGGGAGATGGGATACATTCACTCGAGGGAGAAGAGCAGTGAAGAGTCCCAGTAAAACTGCCCAGCAGACAAAGGCCTCAGAGGAGCAAGCGGCCACATCTTGCACAAACACACCCACCTGGAGGGGCGGCCCTATGCCTGCCCTGACTGCGGGAAGCGTTTCTGCTACAGCTCCAGCCTGGCCACCCACATGGACGAGAACCCCTACAAGTGCCCCAACTGCGGGAAGAGCTTCCCACAGAGCTCCAACCTGAGTCGGCATCAGCACATCCACACAGGCGAGAAGCCCTATGTGTGCCCCGACTGTGGGAAGGGCTTCATCCAGAAGTCCAACCTTTTTGCCCACCAGAGCACCCACCTTGGGGGGAGACCTTCCAACCTGCCCCTGGAGGGAGGGCTGAAGCCTAGGGATTGTTCTCTGTGAGGCTCTCCAGCCTATATGGCATACAGGCCTCTCTGTGTCCCTTTAACTAAGGAGTGACCCTTACCCTAACCTTGGGCCTGAGCCTGTACAAACATGGTCTGAAACAGGTGTATTTCTGCTTAGCTGAAGTCCATCAGGCCCTGTCCACACTCTAGCTTACATCAGTTGACCTGATTGTGCAGGCAGGGATAGTATTCTAGAGTAAAAGAAGTTAAGTCCAGATTAACTCCTGATGTGGATTCAAAGGTGATAATTTGGAAAATTATGCTAGAACAGATCCAGTAGATCAGTTATCGCAGGACAGTTATTTTGGTCTATTGTCCCATCTAGAAATGTCCTAGAAGTATGACTTGAAACTGGTTTTGATCATCCCAAATGCTGCTCTTTCCCATGCTGTTTTACCCTAATTTCTCCAGGATGCTGACATAGCTATCATCAGCTTCCTACCTACGGTCGACCTCCCAACAATAGGCTTCATGCTGGCATCCTCCACCAGTCACACCAAGTTCCTTGGAGTAGAGGCACATGGCCTGCTTGGTACCCAAGCAGCAGTGGACATACCTGACCCTTGTGTTAGCCAGTCCTGCTAGTGTCCTTTTGTCTCTCTCTCACTGGCTGGTCATCCTTGCAGGCAGCCCCAGGCTGAAATCTGTGCAGCAGTGGTATTAAAGGCACTTGCTTTCCATGGGTTTCTCCAAAGTACTTGTACTTTCCCCATTCCCAGAACATTGTTAGGTCAAGGACCTTTTTGCAACCCCACTCATTGGTGCAGCAAACTGAAGCACATACATTGGTGGATGGGTGAATGGGAGGACAGGGGGGCAGCAGCTGACAGCAAAGGGCGTGGAGGTGATTATCAAGAATCTCTTGGCAGTCTACAATACAGTATTAAAAAAACAAGTGGGTAAATGTCAAACAAACTATTTGACTGAAGGTCATTGCTCTGTGGCACCCTAGCTGGATCGAGCAACCTCATCAGTCTTTTTGCTCATGGTATTGTTGACCTTCTTACAAACATGAAGTAGAAAAAAGGGGCAAAACACACTGACCTAACTTTTCCTGTGGGTCCAATGTGATTAAAACTGGTGAAATCTGTAGCAAAAAATGGCAAGATAAGATGCCTTTTAGCTGCATCAGCTGAAATTATTTGGCCCTTAGGTTTAGTTTCAACTATTTCTAACCAGAACAGGAAGACAATTGATTAGATTGCACCTTTCTAAAGAGGGGAGTTGGATTAAAATCTGAATTCTTATAGTATCAGAAACTCTTCATTTTTAAATGTTCCTTTGTCGTAAACCAGGACACAATGTAGACTTCTCAGAATTTTCACAAAATAAAATTTTCTCAAATATTTCATTTTAATTTTATTCAAACATTGTATTTTGCTATGGTTGAATTTTCTTTTCATGTTGGCTAACAGAACAGAGCACAGCGATGGAACAATAAGGTTGAAATAAAATATTTAAAACATTTCTTGTAAAGAATTCAGATGAAATTGCTGCTTTCCCCTGAAACGTTTTGATTCAGCCAAGTCAACGTTTGTCATGGAAACCCACCAGTTGGAACATTTTCAACCTGCTCTACTATAGAAAATGCAAGGCTGTTTCTAAATGGTTCATGTAAAACCCAAAAGGCTGCATTTAATGTTTTTGTAAAACATGAGGATAAAATCATCCATTCAGGGGAATTCCCAGAGCATAAGCTATTTCATTTTTACACATCTAGTTGCTACTGGCTTCACTTTGTAAATGCTGTATTTGGCACTCCCACAGATTTGAAAGCCTATTTCTGCCACTGGTGGAACAGGACTTTCTGGGAATTTGTGTTGGAGGAGGAAGCAGCCCAGCCTAGCAAAAGCCC